TATCCAACATCAAAGATCAAGCTCCCAAGGTAAAAAAGGCTCAAAGAAACTTGACTGACCATGAAGCTTTGATGGCTAAGAAGAACTCTAACAAGCAGGAAGCCAAAGAATTAGCACAATTGATCGACAATCTAAAGAATTCTTCTTCTAAAATTGAACCAAAACTGACTCAGCTGAGAATTAGGCGTGCTAAGCTTGAACAGGAACTGGAAAGTGTGAAAGCCATCATTGACCGTCATGAGTCTAACTTGACTCAGATCCCCAATGTCATATCGGTGTGATGTGTTTCGATCTGATCGAGTCGAGTCGAGTCGAGAGTCGCCCTTTCATGGGACGCCCTGCTTTCCCTTTTATAGGCCAAGGGAAAGCATGGGTTATAGTCGAGGGAAAAAAAAGAGAATGAGAAGGAGAAGAAGTCCTCTAGGATCGCTGGGTCCTTCTTTTCCTTTACGTGGGTCCCATCGACCTTGTAGCCATCAACAAGGATAGCTTCACGTCTGAAAGCTCTAGTTTGGTTTTGGTGAATTGATGAAACCCTAAGTGCTAACCTAGTTTATCAAGTGATCATGAGATAGGTAGCACATTCCAAGTGGTGAAGCAAATGATGATCATGACATGATGATGGTGATGCCATGGTGATGATCAAGTGCTTGGACTTGAAAAGAAGAAAGAGAAAAAACAAAAGGCTCAAGGCAAAGGTATAAATGGTAGGAGCCATTTTGTTTTAGTGATCAAGACACTTAGAGAGTGTGATCACATTTAGGATTGATAGCCATACTATTAAGAGGGGTGAAACTCGTATCAAAATGCGGTTATCAAAGTGCCACTAGATGCTCTAACTCATTGCATATGCATTTAGGATCTAGTAGAGTGCTAACACCCTTGAAAATGTTTGTGAAAATATGCTAACACATGTGCATAAGGTGATACACTTGGTGGTTGGCACATTTGAGCAAGGGTAGGAAACTTCACCGGCGGAGTGTCCGCCCATTGAGTGAGGACAGTCTGACAGTGCCACCGACGCCCTAGACAGAAAAGACGAAGGTCACTGGAAGTGACCGGACGCTGGCCTCAGTTGGACCGGCGCGTCTGGTCAGGTGGAGCATGAAGACGCTGGCGTCGGTCTCTGAACAGACGCTGGGTCACTTAGTGACCGGACACTGGAGGGGTGCGCCTGGTCCTATTGACATGGCGGCGCACAGAAGAGTCACCGTGTGGCCGGACGCTGGGTGAGTCCGGTCGAGCATGACCGGACGCATCCGGTCGTGAAAAGTCGTCTCTAGACGCTTACTGGAAATGACTGGACGCTAGGGCTCAGCGTCCGGTCACTTTGAGCTACTGCGTCTAGTCATCACTTGACCGTTGGGATCGGGCGTTCAGTTTTTAAAGAGAGGGGACACGTGGCATACATCGCGTGATCGGACGCTGAGGTCCAGCGTCCGGTCAATATGACCGGAGCGTCCGGTCACCCCGTGTTGTGCCCAGTAAAGGGGTACAACGGCTCTATTTCGTGGGGACTTCTATTTAAGCCCCATGGCCGGCTCTAGCTCACTCCCTTAGTCATCTGCATTGACATAGCAACCTTGTGAGCTTAGCCAAAGCCCTCCCACTCATCTCCATCATAGATTCATCATCTTTGTGAGATTGGGAGTGAATCCAAGTGCATTGCTTGAGTGTTTGCATCTAAAGGCACTTGGTATTCGTGTTTCACTGTGGGATTCGCTTGTTACTCTTGGTGGTTGTAGCCACCTAGACGGCTTGGAGCAGCGAGGATCGTCGAGCGGAGGTTGGTGATTGTCTCCAGCTCCGATCGTGGTGATTGTGAGGGGTTCTTGACCTTTTTCCGGCGGAGAGCCAAAAGGTACTCTAGTGGATTGCTCGTGGCTTGTGTGATCCTCATCTTGTGTTGGTTGTGCGGCACCCTATTGAGGGTTTGGCGTGTGATATCAATTAGCGCGTGAACCTCCAAGTCAGTGAATCGCCACAACGAGTAGTAGCTTGCGGACAAGCAAGTGAACCTCGGTAAAAATCATTGTGTTCATCATTTGATTTCAAGGTGATTGGTCTTCATTAATATTGATTATTGTGATTGATTGGTTCACTCCTCGACACGGCGGTATAACCTTCTTGCTCACTCTTTTTACATTACCGCAAACTAGCTATCAAGCTCTTTAGTGTAGTTAGTTGTGGGAGCTTGTTAGTTTGGTTAGTGTGGCTCTTTAGTTAGTCTTTGTGAGCACACTAACTTAGTGTAGTGCCATAGCTATTGTGTGGTTAGAGACAATAGAAACTAAAATTGTGGTAAGTGGCTTGCATTTTTAGTAGGCTAGCGCAACACTTGCTTCGCCTCATAATTGTCTAACCGGTTTGTTAAGTGTTGTTGTAGAAATTTTTATTAGGCTATTCACCCCCCTCTAGCCTTTAGGACCTTTCAACATCGTGACCCTATCCATCACTGGCGCCATGCACAGGCATTGTCTCCCAGTCACGACGCTCCACTCCATCCTGACGGATGTCGTGGGGAACTTACGCGCCTGTCAGTGCTCGTACGAGAGTTAGGCAGAACAGCACCGGTACGCCCAACGCTGTTCCTGATGTGAATCCCCAAGTATGGCCTATCATAGCCATGGGTTATATCAGGGCGTGCTGGTCACCTCCCTGGTGTCAGAGTTTTGACCCAGGCCCATTCGCTTAGATCTAGAGTAGTTGGCGGCGATATGAGTCTCCACGGGCGAGGCGAATCCTGTGGCCTCGGGGTTGGACGAGGTGGAGTCCTCCCCTAGAGGTCGGGCGAGGCGGAGCGCAGACCCAAGGGTTGGGTGAGGCAGAGCCCGTGGCCTCGGGGTCAGGTGAGGCGGAGTCCTCCCCCAGAGGTCGGGCTAGACGAAGCGTAGACCCAAGGATCGGGCGAGGCGGAGTGCAGACCCAAGGGTCGGGCAAGACGGAGCCTGCGGCCTCGGGGTCGGGCGAGGCGGAGTTCTCCCCCAGAGGTCGGGCGAGGCAGAGCGTAGACCCAAGGGTCGGGCGAGGCGGAGCCCGCGACCTTGGGGTCGAACGAGGCTGAGTCCTCCCCCAGAGGTTGGGCGAGGCGGAGCACGACCCAAGGGTCGTTCGAGGAGGAGCGCGGACCCAAGGGTCGGGCGAGGCGGAGCTTGCGCACCTGGGGGTCGATTGGAGCTGTAGTCGCGTTCTTGACTGCTCGAACATATCAATGTTGATGGTTATTAGCTCCTCCTTTTCGCGTACCCTAGTATTGGTCCCCGATAGGCGTCGTCCGCGTCGTCGACGCCGGTGGCATCATCGAAGCAGCTGTCGAGGTGGTCCGTGGCGGGCACGACGTCGTCGGGCGCCTACCCGTTCAGGTGCGACGCCACCAGCCGACCCATCATGGCCCAGTCCGTGATCCCGATCCCGCTTGCGCGGTGGAGGACGAGGAGGTCGTCGATGATGACCCCGGCTGCGACGGTGGCGTCGCCTGAGACGGCGTGCTACAGCAGCGTCGTCAGCGCCGCCGCGACCACGGACGAGCTCTCGAGCAGGGGTAGCTTCATGAACCCGTGCCCGCCTAGCACGGTCTCGATGGGCTGGAGGTACCTGGACGTCGCCCGCCCCGATGGCGGCGACGACAGCAGCTTGTGCTCCTGCTTGTAGAACCTGCCCATGTACTGCAGGATTTGGTCCAGCGCGTCGTCGCTGGAGGAGTACTGCAGCCCACCGTGGTGCTGGTGCTGGTGCAGCGCTGCCGCAGCCGCACCCTTGCTGCCGCCATGCCTGTGCTCGTTGTTATTGCCGTGCTTGCTGCCCTCGCCTCTGCCTGATGACTCCATGTGGTGGTGCTTCTTCTTGAACACCCTGCACACCATCCACCCGTCCTCCTGCCCGTCGTCCGACGACGTAGCAGCGACGACCTGTCCACCACAACACCGCCTGATGAGGGAGATGGACGTGGCCAGCTTGCGCGGTGCCCGATGGGGCCGCCGTCGAGGACGGGATGGCGTTGTACGTGCCGCCGCCGATGTTGAGCGGGTGATGGCGGGGGGTTGAAGATGAAGTTGATATGTGGGGCCCACGCGTCAGCGATTGGAGGAAAAGAAGCAGTAGGGGTACATAGGTCATTTCGCATGCTTTGTAGGTCTTTCCCGGCTCCCTGCCACGTTAGCGTGCCCATCTGGTGTGCCACCTCAGTAAAAATGGTAAAAATATAGTTGGATTACTGTTTACGATGACAAATGTGTAGGGGGACGTATAAAGATGACAAACGAAGGAGTGCAGTAAGGACGACAAAAAGTTAAAAATCCCTCGAAAACAAAGGAGACAAAAAAAATGGGAAAATTCCTTATGTGCCATTAAAAAAGATCGCAATGCCCTATGTGCCCCTGAAAAAGTTCAGCGGTCTTCAGCGCCTCTGCTTCAACCTTTTTATGCCCTCCATGCCACTGCCGTCAGTTTGGGCTCTAATACCGTCAAACTGCAGGTGTAAAAAGTCGAAAATACCCTTATGTCTAAATATGTCATTATTTTTTTGAGCATCTTAACGACTTTAAATAAAAAAACTCAAAACTAGAAAGTTGTAGATCTCGTCGAGATCTATAATTTTCATATAAAAATTATCTTCATTTAATTCCGCAAAAAAATATAATTTGATATGATTAATATATCTTAGAAAAATCATATCTTTTTTTTTTGGAATTAAATGAAAATAATTTTTATATAAAAAAATATAGATCTCGAGATTTACAACTTTCTAGTTTTGAGTTTTTTTTTATTTAAAGTCATTAAGATGCTAAAAAAATTAATGACATATTTAAATATAGGGTATTTTTAACTTTTCACACATGCATTATAACGGCGCTAGAGCCCAAACTGATGGCAGGGGCATGAAGGGCATAAAAAAGTTGGTGCAGTGACGCTGAAGACCGCTCAACTTTTTCAGAGTCACTGCGATCTTTTTTAATGGGACACGAGGAATTAAAAAAAAAATCGAGAGAACCCTAGCTAACATGGCGACCGGCGACGAGGCGGAGACGGCGTCGCCGGCGTCGGAGGAGGCGAGGGACTGGTCCGACATGACGCCGGTGTGCCTTGACGAAGCGTTCTCGCGGCTGGCGCTGGAGGACCTGTGGCGCGGCGCCATGGCGTGCTGCCGCTCCTGGCGGGACGCCGCGCGCTCACGCCCGGGGCTCTTTGCGGTGCTAGACCTCGAGCCCGGGTTTGCTGAGTCCACACCCGGAGCCGAGGCGGCAGCGTGGTGGACGCCCGCCTTCCAGCGCCGCGTCGACGCCATGCTCCGCTCCGCCGCCACTCTCGCCGCGGAGGAGCTGTGTGAAATCCGTGTCCGCCACTGCTCTGACGACGCGCTCGCCTTCGCCGCCGAGAGGTGCGTTGGATCTTTGATTTGTTAGAATTGATGCCTCATGCCTGGAGGGTGTGGCGTGCCCCCCGGCCTCACGCCCTCACACAAGGAAATGCTTTAGCAACATTGGTGCTTTTCTTTCAGCATGCATATATTGGTAGTTCTACTGCAATTGAAGATCCACATGACTTTTTAAAAGAATCAGATTATCTGGAATGATGCATATGCAACTGGATGTGCCTCGCTAAGCAAAATTTCTGGTTAAGTTGTTTTAATTGCGGATGCAATTTTATGTGTGTCTCTTTGTGCTTTGAATCTGTGGATTCTTCCTTGTCTGCTTGTGGTCTCGAAATTTTGTCTTTTCATACAAAGTAGTGAATTCCTCATTCATGTGATGGTAATGGTCTGCTGCATGCTCTCATTTCATGACTTTTTAGGCAATGGCTTGCTAGGACTAATGAATTGACAGAAGTTTATATGGTAGTTTGAAGTGAACTGAGCTAAAGCAAAGAGGGATATCTTTGAAATGGAATACTTCAAGGATGCTGAGCCTATGGTTGTGTTTTATTGCTCTAAAAGGATGGTGCTACAAATGTTTGTATGTTATTCTGAACATATGACAGATTTGAGATAGATGTGCACTGAAGATTCTAGTAATATTCTTCCTATGGAGAAAGGGGACCATCTTCTCCAAAATCTGAACATCCAAACCATGTTGGGTGTTGAGTTGCTATCATTTCAAGGAACTAAAATGTTGGGTTTTGTCTTGGCTCTTTTTAAAAAAGCGAAGGAACTTAAACAAGAAAAAATAAGCATAATTTCTTCCAAGTAATGCATTTTCAGGTATAAACTCGAAACCAGCACATATATTCAATTTTATACAAGCTGATTGAAACATGTTTCTAGGAAAAAGATCTTCTGAACTAGCCATCCAGAATGTACAGCTTTTAGGATTTTGTCTTCTGGGAAACAATTTCGGGATTGTATTCGACAATTACGAGCCTTATCAATACACAATAGTCACATATGTTCTTGATTTAAGCTTGCTAGTATATTGCTCTTTTGTTTTAATCTTTTCTTGTTTTCCATGGTTGAGTCATGACACTTTGATCTGGTAGAGTCGGATTCATACAAGTCAAACCCAATAGTCTCCCTTCTTGAAGGATTTGATAGATTGAATCACAGTTTGATCTATTCAAGTTGAGTTCATTAAAGTTGGATTCATGCAAGGCAACCCAATAGAGTCTCTATTATTGAAGGTTTTCATAGATTGTGGCTTGCAGGTCTCTTTTCCGGGGCTTCCTTTATACAACAAATTCAAGACTTGTATACAAGGCAACAAAGGATTTGGTGCTTTGTGTGTGTGTGTGTGTTCTGGAAAAGACACTTCGCCTCTTTCCTTTGAATTTCTCTCTTAATGAAATGACACACAGTTCTCCTGTGTAGTTTTGAAAAAAGAGAGACTTGTATCAAGTTAACACAATCAAATTGTAGCAGTGTGCACCTGTGCACATGTTGTTTTTTGACTGAAAGAATTGAAATGCAGTATTGAAGAATTTGCTTTGTTTCCTGTGGACCAAATTACAGTTCAGGTCCAGTGTTCTTAAGGCATCACCTAGATCACAAGATGCTCGCTGGGGGCAAGGCATGGCCCACGTCTAGAGGGAAGAGGGGCCAGCCATGGAGAAGAAGGAAGGGGGGGGGGGCCCTCCATTTGATTGGCTGGAAGGGGTGATTCGCCACTTGGCCACTGAAGATGCTTGGGGGATCATCTGGGAGAGAGGCAGAGAGGGTAAGTGTTTTGTGGGAGACGGAGGGGAGGTCTTTGTGGGATGCTGGCTTGGGTTGGGCTTTAGTAGGCTAATGAGCTCATTTGTTCCTATTGTTATGACCTGGAGGGGCATATTTTCTTTTTCTTCTCTGATTTATTCACCTTCCCGCATCGCCTTAAGAGCCTAGGTGATAAGAGGGTGGTGGGTCACCACACCTCGCCTTAACGCTTTAAGAACATTGCTCAGGTCACTTCAATAGGTGGTTCAAGTAGTATGTCCAGAAACTTGAAAAGTAGATATTAACCTGGACTACCACACAAGTGTACAGGCCTGAGATACAATGCATCTTTTTCTGCTGTAATATACGCATATTCCATTTGTTACAAGGTTTAGACTATCCTGGATGGGGGCTTGTTATATGAATCGTGTGATTGTGAATGAAAGTTTCAGTAGTTTTATAATATGTTCTGGGAAAAGAAAGACATCAATATGCACAAAAGTATCTAAATTGGTATTGCTTTATTATATTCACAACAAAGCAAATTTAACATATGTTATTATTATAAGATTTTTGTGTAAATACAATGGTATCTGTTTAAATACTGGTACCTCCTTTCTAGTTTTCTTTTTTTGTGGTGAAACCAATAATTGTTTTCTTTTTAATGTCATGTGAGAAGCACAGAGTTATCTCAATTGATTTAAAGTGACATGGGTCAAATCCTGCGTAGCTAGCTATTTTAGATTGACCCCTCTTAGTTGTACATCTGTTCTAGCTTGTTGACTGTTCTTGTTGGGAATGTAACCTCAGTAACAGGTCCGTATACCTAGAGTAGTTCCTAGTGCCCTTTTTTGTTTGGCTTTTGCTTGCTCCATGAGTGAGTCATTCTGGTGCTATTTCTTTTGCTTGATTTTTTTTTCATTGTGATGAGTTAGGTACTCTTTTTACCATTTTTTCTTCACTTCAATTGAAAGTATTACTCTCTTTTTCCACAACGGCATAGCCAAATTCCATTACTTGACAGCAACGAAATTACAAGAGTTTGTTGCAAACGAAACATAAAAGCCTAGCAGAAGGCACATTGGAATGAACATGCAGGGTTCATCCAACTGGCACCACGTAACCAACCACAAGCGTTTAACATCGCCAACTACGAAATTGAAAGTATTACTCTCTGCTCTTAAGTGACTTAATCATGTGCAGGTCTCCAAGACTTAGTATCCTTTCCATCAAAACTAGCCCGGCAGTAACTGATCGATCGATGCTCACTGTCGGAGCATGCTGCCCCATGCTTACAGAATTGGACATCAGCAACTGCTATGAGGTTTCATACAAGTCACTAGAGGTGATTGGCCAGAGCTGCCAGAACCTCAGGGTCCTCAAGCGCAACATATTCCACTGGATCGATCCATCAGAGCATGTCGGAATAGTTCCTGAGGACTACTTAAGAGAATGCCCCGAAGATGGTGACAGGGAAGCCATTACAATATCCAAGTTCATGCCAAAGCTGAAACATCTTGAACTGAGGTTCTCAGAGTTGACCGCTGTCGGCCTCAGCTCTATCCCTGAAGGATGCAAAGACCTGGAGGTTCTGGACCTGTTTGGCTGTGCAAATCTTACAAGCCGGGGAATAGACCAGGCTGCTGCTAATCTGAAGAATCTGGTGACGCTAGTGAAGCCCAACTTCTACATACCTCGTTCCTCCTTCCACATGGGGAGGTACGGCCACTGGCAGTTATACGACGAGAGGTTCCAGACAAATGTATTTCAGATATGATTATAGTCTCAGGCTATGCCTCAGCCTGTTCGGCAGGCCGTAAATGATCGTGGATTATTTACTGTTGGCTGGTTTGACTGGTTTTGTGTGAGAGAAAAATACTGTTCCGGTTGGAAATTTACGATCGTATACGAGCAAGCCCAGCCTGCCGAACAGATATGGTTGTGTGTATGTGGGCGCAGATAATAGCAATAATGTGTGGTTTGAATTGTTTCTCTGGATAACATTTTGTACAGATATGGATGGTTGTGCTCCAGTTATTTGAAGAGTAGTACGTTGGTTAATATACCTTATTGCCTATATAGGCTTGCAAGAGATGTTTTAGTGGATATTTTGTCGTCCCAGAAATCAAAACGACATTTTGAACGAGGAATTTTCTGGACGAAAACTCGCCAACGATCAGTTCATAGCATCTTAGTTCTTGGTGAATGGTCTATTTGTCTTATCCCTATACTATTGTGCTTTGGATCATCCTGGAATAATGCCATAACCTGTGCTCCACGTAGCATGGTTTGCTAAGTCGATCCTGGAATAAGGCATCTTTCGTGCTCGGGTGTCATCTTCCTGGCCCTATGCTGCACCCGACTGTGACCGCTCGATGCCGTTACCAGAATACCAGTCATGTTCATGTCATCTGCACCACAATCCGATGCGTTGTTTCGCATCACCTTTCGGCCAGTTGGGATCTGTCTGACTATTTGCATCTTCTTCATTTTTTTGATATATGACTATTTGCATCTTTTGTAGCAGTCTAGCAGACGAGGCTATAGAGAGTGGCTCCAATTCTAATCTAATCCCCAAAAGTATTCCTGCTAAACTGAGGGCACCCACAATGGTATAAGCTAATTACTGGTTCTAAGCCAACTTTTTTAATAGTGATAACTTTTAGCATATAGCTCATAACGTGAATAGTTCCACATGACACTCTCACATATTATTGGATATGTGTATGAGCCTAGCTTTTGATCAAGAGCTAGCTTTTCTCTTTCGTCTATTAAAATATGAACGAATGCTTAGAGCTAACTTATGGTTGTCAGCCATTGCGGATGCCCCTAGAAATGGAAATTCAATGCCTTCCTTGGTCGGGAAGACTGAAATCTTCCCTGAAAAGACCAGCTTTACCTTCCCTTTCGCCCATTGATATCACATTATCCTTTTCAAGGTTAAGAATGACTATGACTTTATAAAACTTGTCAGTTAAATCGTTCTCGAACAGCTAATCCATAGCCATGAGCTAGCCTTGTCGACTTGCCGTGCACCACTCAAATATTCAACTAATTTTCTTACATGTTATGCTGGAAACCATATGCATATATGCATGTGGCCATCCTTTTTCTTGTTCTTCATCTGCATTACAATTCATTGAAAACTACATATATAACAGAATGAAAAGAGTAGACAATGTATCCCATCCTTCCGTTTGTACTAGTCGGTGACTGAAAAGATGAAATCCAGTTGGCTGGCTTTATCCTTTTTTTCTAGAAAAGGGAATATATTAATATCCCAGCTTCTGCATCGATCACTGCATATGGCTGGCTTTATCCTATACTCCGTATTTTGGTTGAGATCTTGCAAGCAAAGGCCATGGTCCATGGAGCACCCACCACATGCAACAAAGCCACCAAATCTGCACATTGCTGTTCCATATGTTCCTCTTTTCCCTAGCAGCACATCATTAGTGCCCAAAGGCATTGAAACAAAAGAAAAAACCGAAGTGCCAGAATCAGCAACCTTTGCTGGGATTTAGGTCCCATTAGACCTGAACTGTCCCTAATAATCCTAATTTTGTTTTTTAAATATCAGTATAACCCAATGGTGTGTATCAAGAACAAAAGAACGGATCCATTCACGTGGTTTGCTGATCTTTTTTTCAGAATGTCTGCCGTCGAGGAAAAAAAAAAGGCACAATGGAATCAGGTGCCGTCTTGCCAAATCAGTTGCTTGCCTTATCTTGGCATTGGCAGCAGCTACTACTCTGCAGACTGCAGGAGTTATAAGAAGAGAGTCTCGGGGGACACTCCTCCGCATCAGAGATTCAGAGCTGATGAATTGCTTCTGGTGTCCTGTCCATCTCATCATCAAGATGAAAAAAAGCAGCACCATCCTCGCCATCTCCATCTTGGTCCTCCTCTCCCTTGCCTCCCAGGTCTCACGGTGTGCAGCATCAGCTGAGGGAATCGCCGGAGTTTCCACAGCGCGTCATCGGCTCAGGCCTCATCTCCAGGTGCAAGAACAATTGCACGGTCAGTTTTTCTCTCTCTCTTAATTCGTCCCTGAATCATTGCCATGCATGATTGGTCAAATTATCCTCTAACACGTCTCTCTGACTAAGAAACTGGTTGGCTTGTTCATGAACTGAAGGCGATATGAAAGACCACCTGGAAATCCAGAGTCCCAGCCGGAAGCTTGGGCCTGCTGGGCATGAGGTGGTGAGCACAGTGGAGTTGAAGCATCACAGGAGGATTACCACCGGGCACAAGGGTGGCAGTGCCGGCGGAGGCGCCGGCGCCGGTGGCGCTGCGGGCGCGGGTGCAGGCGCGGGTGGCGGGGGCGCCGTGACGAGGCCGCACGGCTCCAAGAACGGCGCGGCGGCGCTCCCGGTGCCACCGGTGGCGTCCGTTCTGGCGCTTGCCTTGGGCTGTGGCGTTGCTCTGTCAGCCTTGAGCTTCTGACGAAATGTGTCTTCCCGGAGTTAACGTCAGTCAGTATCTCCGAGCCGAGTTTACGGGTATTAGTGTACTAGTTTCTCGATTTGTTTGTTATATATCATTATCATCATGGTGTGTAAATGGCAGTCCAGCTATCTGTCAGTATACTTAACTAAAACGTTTCAGAGTCCACATGAATTCTTTTTTCTTCTTTCTTGTTTTTGTCCTCGGACAATTTCACATAGAGGAAACTTATATGAAATTTCTGTTATCTTCTTACGATTGATTGATGTGGAAAATCAATGGTCCTTGTGTAATTTATATTGATCTGCATAATTCTAACTTGCTTCAAGCCCACTTGTTAGGGACCTTTGGACACAGCAGGTAGTAAAACATGTAAAGCTTGAGCAGTTCGATAATCTGTATTGAAACCTCGTTTTATTGTGGAAAAATTCGTGGTCCTACGGAAGATTATCCTCGGCCTCGCTCGAAAACTAGTTTTTTCCCCAGTTTCTGATTGAATAGTCCTGTGCAGAGAGAGAGAGAGAGAGAGAGAGATTTGCTGCCCTTTTTCTTTTTTGCGACTAGAGAGATTGATGGCCTGTGTATTGGCATTTGGCGCCGTGTAAACCGTTCAGTTGCCTCCCACTAATTTTATTCTTTCGTTGTTTTTCCAAGATTCGCTTCTTCTATTCTTTCTTATCCGAGGAAGAGAATTTTGAACCTTGTTTCAAGGGAATTGATGGGTCGTCCAAGCGACAGTAAAATTTGGTAGGCTCTGAAATTAATGCGAAACAATTTTATTGTCACGCTTCCTAGAGTGCAGGCACCTGAAAACACAGAGTCAAAGGCACCTGACAGCTTGGCGTCACACCCTTATCTTTTTATACTTTTATCCACGACCAAAGGAGCATGCTGTCACAATCTAGACACCACTAGAGCGATTTTCGTAAAAATAGTGAAAAAGGCTTCCTTAATGGCTAACATTTGCAAATATTTTTTTAAGAACAATTTTTTTACTCAAAACCTGCAAAACACGATCTATAGAGCTATGTCGAATTATTTGAAACGTTTTGTTAGCCTAGAAGAACCTTTATGTTCGCTACCAAAAAAATCAGACAAAACAATGACCTGTACAATGTGATATATAAAAAAAGTCTATGTTCCACTAACAACTCTCTGTTTTGTGCTAAACTCGACTTCTGCATCTCGTGGGCCTAGCTAGGAAGAAAAAGCAACATATTTTTGGGACGAATTTTCGTGTTAAATAACGTCTTGTGCCCACTATTTTTAGTTGAAAAATAATTAAAAGAAATAGTTGGGCTTGGGGGAAAATTAGCATGAGTGCTTATGGTATCCAAGCCCTATTATCAGTAATAGGTGCAAGCCCAGCCCATTGTGCTCAACAAATGTTTACGAAACGATCTTCCATCCTAGATCGTTAACGGGCACATTCGAGCTGTAGCAATCCTCCAATATAACTCTCCCAATAAATTAGTAATAAGTTAGTAATGAGGATGACCCAATACCATTTTTTTTTTGATTATTAAGGGAGTTGCTGTAGCAGAACACTAATAAAACTCCCCCAAATACGTGGGACCTACATGTCAGGTAACAATTTGTTTATTTTTCATTTTTCTTCTTTCCTTTTCTCTCTGTTCCTCCGCCTTCGTCACGCACGGCCACACCGGGTCCGCGCCGGCATCTATCTCCTCGACGCCCACCTCGTCGTGAGCTCGGCCTCGCATGGCCCCGCACGCACCAGCCGTCCCCGTCCCGGCCACAATCCCGGCCGCGCAGGCCTCCGTCCCCGGCCGTGCGCACGGCCTCCGTCCCCGGCCTGCGAGCTCCTCGGCGGAGTAGGGCCGGCACGGCGCGGCGGTGGGCGCGTAGCAGCTATGCATCGATGCCGCATCCGTGCAGCGCCGCCCGCCGCTCCCCACCGCGAAGCTCGTAGGTGCCCCGGCGTCCTCCGCCTGGGATCTACGTCGCCCGCCACTCCCCTGCGCCGTCGTCCTCTGCCCCAGGATCACCGTCGCCCACAGCTCGCCACACGCGAGATTCTCCGTTGGCGCGGCAGGTCTCCAGCTCCAGCCGGTGGCGGCCATGGCTGCGGCGGGCCGAGGCCAACGGCGCGCAGGCCTGGCCGGGGGCGACAGTGACAGTTGGGGTGGGCCCCAGCTTTTGGGGAGATGCAATGCAACTCCCCTTCTATTTGAGGGGAGATGGGATGTTTTTTTTTGCCAAAAACAAGAGGTTATCTGGGACCGTCAAAGAAGAAAAAGTGAGCCATCTCTCACAACATGACAGTTTTATGGAGTTAAAGGATGGGATTGTGGGATTACAGGAGAT